AATTATGAAAACTATTGCCGGTAAGGAACTTTTCAACAAATTCATCATTTTGTAATTTCTTATGATCCTTTTTAACCTGTTTATTTTCTGCTGTATTTTCAGGGGCATCTTGATCACGTTCACCCAACATATTCCAAGAACGGGTTATGGAAGAAACTTCAAGCTTATCAAGAGTATCAGCCAGCGATATTTGCGAATCGGTTTGTTGAATATACAAACTTGCATGAGCAAAATTGCCAAACACCAAAGCAGCTTTATGATAGTTACTAGGGGCTTCATTATCATTTTCGCAGGGAGCTTCATTATCATTTTCGTGGGGGCTTTATAATCATTTTCACGGGGGGCTTCATTATTATTGTTGCTGGGGGCTTCATTATCATCGTCGCTGGGGGCTTCATTATTATTGTCATCATGGCTTTCATTGTCATCACGGGCTTTGAATTAAAAAATTTATTAGCTGATTGTTTTAACTTAATAAACAAACTATAATTATAAAGTTACCTTTCAATATATTGTTTGAGGCGTGTGTTAATGCACTAAAAAATCTACCAAGACCTTCTTGTTGCATAATCGATCTTGGTCTTTCATATGCAGCCAACCCTTTTTGTGACTTATGTCTCGTGATTGACATAACCATGGCATCCGAATATCCAAGCTCCTTCAATAACTGCACTGCAGTTTTTCTCTCAGAGTGATTTGATATGTTGCGCGTTCCAATATTGATGCCTGTAGCTTCACATATGGTCCGAAAATACCCTCTCAACGTTCGCTTACCCAATGCACATTGGTAAAACCAATTTCCAGCGAATTCCACTTAAAATAAAAAAAAAATATTAGTACTACATATATAATTACTGATCATATGCTTTCCTAATAAAACTTACCAGAATTTATTGACACAGGTTTTAAATAAAAATTCGTCACTGACATTACTGGGCGCTTAGTAAAATACAATTCATAATCATTAATAATATGTTTAATGTTTAGTAAACTGATTACCTCCGCCTGCACATCATAGTCTTCAAGTTCACGTTAATTCGTCTTTGATCTGTATAATTTAATGTCTATCACTCCATCATGTCTTTTAACAAAGTTATTTATTTGGAGACTTTGATGTTCGCCCCCTCTTAGTGCCAATAGAGTCGCATTATAAAAAAAAATCTGTCGTAATAATCCTTCAGGACTATCACATTGCATTGTCAGGTGGTCAAGAATACATTCCACTTCATCTAATGTCAAACCATCAGCTCCAATACATTCTTCCAAGCCTTTTGCTGAAAGGTTCTTTATTTTTCCATTTATTATTTGGTTTAATTCAAAGTAAATCTTAGGATTCAGAATGTCAACAAGTTTTTCCATTACAGAATGCTGGTTAAGATGACGCCAAATAGCTGCAAGACAGCACCTTATTGAGGTTGCATAATAATCCTTTCCATCCCGTCATTTCATTGCATATACAAATTTAGATAGTTGGTCTTCTAAGACTGTCTTTGATTTGATTTCCTCAATTTTTACCACATATCCAACTTCGGAACAAAACTTCTCTAATGCTTTAACCCACTGTTCTGTTGCTTTATGCGTGGCTTGGACTTTCGCATCTTCTCAAATTGCCTTTAATTCTTCCACAGATGGTTCTGTATATTTAACTCGCTAAAGTAATTATTAATCAGTTTTTTTTAATAAAAAAAAAACAGAAATAAAACACAAAATAAAGTTTACCTTTGCCAGAACTTTTGTGGAGACGTTTGGAGAGACATTTGTGAGGACGTTTGCAGAGACTTTTGCAGACACTTTCACGGGAACGTTCACAGAAACGTTTGTAGTGACTTTTGCAGGAACATTCACAGGAACATTCGCAGAGACGTTTGCAAGAACATTTACAGAGGCTTTTGCAAGAACTTTTGCAGTAACCTTTGCAGAGACTTTTGCAAAGACTTTTGCAGAGACCTTCACAGAGTTTTCTGCAAGAACTTTCACAGAAACTTTTTTTGTCATGGCAGATTTTGATTTTGGCATTTCCTTAGGTACGTTCAAGTAAAATTCTTAAACCGTCAGGTGAAAGTTTTTAGGTTTTTAAATGTTTCAAACACATATTGCATTCAATACAATTTACAAAAACTAGAAAGTCTCGTAATCCGTATTCTCAAACTTGTAGAAATAAGGTACAACAAAAAAAAATATAAAATCGCTTTTTTTTTTTTTTCAGAAAAGAGATCTGATTTATATACTGATCTGCATTTTTTTTTTAGATCTAAAACTATATTTATAGCACGGAGCGGATCAGACCATGATCATAAATTGTTGGATAATACTATTATTAGACAAATTTGGTGAACAACGGTAATTTGACTCAACTGGGCAAATGACTGTTATTTACTAAATTTTGCCCAATAATGTATATATATGCTCTATTAATTGCTAGCTAAATTTTCATACATTAAATAAAAATTAATTAAAATAAAATAAATTTAAAAAATAAAAAGAAATAAAAATGATTAGATGCTCTCCTAACATTATATATATATATATATTTTTTTTTTTTTAAGAGTGAGACCTGATCTCAGTTTTTTATTGATAACCTTTTGTATTATTATTACAATTTAATATCAAGATATTTTTACATATTTTGAAATTAAGCTATCTAAAAACTTTTGACTAAGGCTAGTTTACCTTCGGCCTAGGCTCTACTAATAGAAGGCACCAAGTTCTCACTCAGATTGCATTTGATATATTGTGTTAGGAGATGCATTATGCACGTAGTACTGTTTGGTCCATTTTATCCATTTATTCTGAGCTGTTTGCTGTGGATTATAATTTATATTCGTTTGTATATTTTGTTGGTTTGTGTTTTGTGTAGGGTTGTTGTTTGAATTTTGTGTTTGGTTTTTATTTGTTGTTTGAGTTGTAGTTTTGCAGCGGGTTTTCCATATTTGGTTGTAGATTGTTTTGCAAATTTTGTGAAGTAGTTTCATTATATTGGGTTTCGTTTTGTTTGTAGTAAGTGTGACTGATTTTAAGTCTTGTTTAAACACATCTGTAATGAGACCTTGGATTAATGTTATAGTATTGCCATTGGCTATAGAGTTGAAGTTATTGAAAAATCTATCTATAAATTCTTGTTTTTTACTATTTGTTGCTGTATCTTTTTGATTTTTATCTATAAACTTTCTAACTATATTGTATATAAAGGTGTTTATATTGGTTGGGTTTATTAGGCATATAAGCCAGTATATATTTGATTCGCCTTCTGCATTGCAAATTTTGCATTGGGTTTCTGGATATCTGTATAGATTTTGTTTATTTAGATTTTGTAGGGTTGGCAGTTTATCCAGAAGAAATTTTAGCTTGAAAGCCTTCAATTTGGAGTGGGTTGAATGTGTTTGTCAAGCTGTTAGTTTGTCGTTGTAGTTGATAAATGCATATGTTAATTCCCAATTAATATTTTGTATGTTGGTTTGCTTTTGTGTCTGATTTTGCGAGTGCTACATGGCTAGGTTTTTTGCATTTTGTATATTTCTGATTAGTCTTCTTGTTTTTGTATTGTTGTGTGGTTGAGCCATGTGAGTGTATATATTGTGTAGTCGACTTGTTGAAATTGTAGTATTATTTCTTGTATATTGGCGTTGAAGGTTATTTTGGTATATAATTTTGTGAGTGCTGAAGATTCACTTGATATTAATATTAGTTCTAATTGGATATCTTTTCTTGCTATAAGTGTAAAGATGTTGGTCCAGTATGGCCAGTGTTGGTTTTTTGTTATAATGTTCTTCTTGTTGTATTTAATTATATTGTATTGTTGGTATATGTTGATGATGTGGATTGCTGTTGTAAATATTTTTAGTGATGTTTTGATTGGTGTAATGGCTATTAGTGTTAGGATTGCTGTTAATATCGCTATAGTTTTGGATGGCCAGTTTGTGATTTTGTTAGTTAGTTAGATGTTAGTTTGGCAGATTTCCCAGGTGAATCCATATATAGATTGTCTAGTATTCATATCTTTATGTGTTATTATTATTGTATGTGTTACTTTGTTCATGATTATATCTTTTGCTATTTTAATTAATGTTGTGTTAATTGTGGTTTCGAAAAACATGCTATTGCATATTTGTAGTGTTGGTTGTAGTTTCTTGGATACTTGGCTAGTTGAGATATGTTGTTTAATCTGCTGTGAAGTGTTTTGTTGCCGTGTATATTGCAGTGCTTTTTGTATCTCTCCTATATTGCTGTATATGCGTTTACTGTAGCTTACTTGTATTATGCTATAGTTTTTTGGTGTTGTTTGTATAGCTTACTTGCCATAGTGTTTTGTGTTGTTAGCTTGCATTAGTTGCATTGTATAAGTTGTTGTAGTTGATGTTCATCTTTTGTATATATCCAGTGTATTAATTTTATTTTGCTATAGTCTTGTATTATTGCTATTTTTTCAATTATAGTTTGGTTTTTTATTTGCGTTGTTATCTATTTGTTTTTAGTTATTTCTTTGTTGTTGATTGTGTATGGGTTTGGTGTTTGTAGTGTTAGCTGGTTTGTATGCTGGATTTGTATATCAATTATTGTTGTGATTATTTTAAACTATGCCGGTTCTCTGCCTGTTAGTATTTTGTATGTTGTATGTGATGTTTCTTTCCAGTTAATTGTCTGGTATTGTTTGAGTTTGTTAGCTGTTCAATAAAGTTAATTTTGTGTTGATTTAGTTTGATCTTTAGTTGTTGGGTATTAATTTTGTTTGTGTAGAGTGTTGGGTCTGTGAGTATCTTGTTTATACTATTTTTTTTGCTTAAGAGAGGCTTAGGCCATTTGCTAATATTGTTTATTAATGCGAAGTAGTTATCATGTAGTATCTGGATTCTCTTAGCTGTAGTCTGTGGTTTGTAATTATATTATTGTGTCTAAAGGATAGTATATTGTTTATAATGTTTGTTATAGGTTCTGGTATTTTGATGTGATGTAGTGCTTTGATTAAAAGTGGTATATATACAAGTCATAAGCTTTGCTCATATCCTGTGATAACAACTATATTTCTTTTTTGTTTGTTTGGGCATCTTCTATTATATAATGAAGTGTATATATTGGTGATGCAGTGGAAGTGTTTGCTAAGGCTACATAGTTGTTTGGATTTAGTATAGTGTATTTTGATAGAATGGAATTAAGTCTTCATACAATGATTTTTATAAAGATTTTTCTGGTATGTTTAATTAGTATAATTGGGCATATTTGGTTTAAGTCTTCAGTAAATGCTGCTTTTTTGATATGGGATATATTGTACTATATTTCCATGCAGTTTGTACATTATGTAGTGTTAGACAATTATTTAATAGATCTAAGATTGTGGCTTTTGCTTGGGGGTCTAGGTGTTTTAACATTTCATTTAATATTTTTAAAGATCCAGTGGGCTTTGTATTGGGTGCTTCTTTGATTATAGTTTCTAGTTCGAAAAGTGTAATCTTTGTTATGATTGTATTATACTATGTTGGATCCATTGTTTGGATTGGTTTGTATTTATCTGCCCATTCTTTCCATAGTTCTGTCCGAGTTGGGTTTAGTTTTGTCCAGTTTTTAAAATATTCCTGTATTACATTTTTGATCTTCTGAGGTTCTGTGATTATGTTGTTAGGTGTTCAGATGTTGTGTAATATTATGAAATCTGTATGTTTTTAAGTACACTTTTTATCATTTTATATGTATTGTTTTAGAAGTTTTGGTATCTGCATTTGATGCAGTTCTTTATATATAGGTTTTTTCCTGATTAGTTTTCTATATTGCTTGCTGTTTTGATTTGTTGTTGGGCTGTCTTGAATATTGTATCTATTTTTTCCATTGTTGTGTTGGGTTGTATTTGTATTTGTATATTGGATAGGTTGTTGGTTTGTTGTATGAAGTTGTGTATTTGGTCTATATTTGTTGCTTGTTTGTATGTGTCTTTGTGCCTTGTTTATATATGTCAGTGTCTTGTGTAATTTGGTGGCTATAGGTGAGAATAGATGGTTATTATTTTGGATACGTATCATTTCACTGACAATTACTTCACCGACATCTTAGTTCACTAACAATTAATTCATTGACAAGTTTATTTCACTGACAATTAATTCACCGACAAGTTCATTTCACTGACAAGTTTTTTTTATAAACTACACTAACCTTAACTCTAATTCTGGCCTGACCTTAATAGCAATGGCCAGAATTACTTTGTCTGTGAAATGAGCTGTCAGCGAAATAATTGTTGGTGAAATGAACTTGTTGGTGAATTAATTGTCAGTAAACTAAGCTGTCAGTGAAGTAATTGTCGGTGAAATGAGCACCACCCATTATTTTGTGTTGCTTTGCGTGTATATAGGATATGTTTGTTTGCACTTTGTTTAATGCAGTTTGCCAGTATGTGCCATGTTTTGTTGAGGTTTTTTATACTAGGGCTTAGTGGATCTGTTTTCAATTGTGCAAGTTTTGCTTCGATTGTGTTTGCAAATTGTTCCCATGTTTCTGTGTTCATCATATTATAGTTGTAGATTGTTCTTTTTGTTTTGTTTTTGCTTCTTTTGGTATATATATGGTATATTGACCATGTGAAGATTATTTTGTAATCACTATTTATGATCTGTGTAGCCTCTTTGAGTATTGAATTGTGAAAGTTTTCTATTGAGTTTTTTGGAATCTATATTTCATTTATTTGGCTGCTGGTTCACTAGGAGCTCCATGTAGGTTGGTTTGGTAGTAAAGTGTTGATTAATAGTAGCATATTTGTATTTTTTAAATATTGTATTAGAGTGTTGTGTATGTGTTTTTTGTTGAGGTCAAGTTTGAAGTCTCCAAGAATAATTGGTTTGATCTTTTGTTTGTTTGCTTGTTCTGCCCATTCTATTATTTTAAAATGGGTTAAGTTGTTGAGTTGTTTGTTATTGCAAGGTAGATATGTTGCTATAATATGAAATTGGTTTTTGTGTGGTAAGAATATGTCAATGCTGAGTGCTGTTCCTGGATAGGTTTGTATATTATGTATATATGGTTGTAATTTCTTTTTT